TTTTTTTCGGATTTTTTTCCTTTTTTCCTGATTTTTTCCCTTTTTTTTAATCAAAACTGGACTCGGACTCGGACTCGGACTCGGACTCGGGTGGCGCGGACTCGGACTCGGACTCGGTGGGGGGGGGGGGGTGCGGACTCGGACTCGGACTCGGACTCGGGGGGTGCGGACTTGACTACAACACTGGCGTGTACGTGTGTGTATGTGTGTGTATGTGAGTGTGTGCGTGCGTGCGTTCATCTCTGTCTGGGTCATGTTTTTCTCTCCTGTGCATAATACAACAATTGTTGGTTCAAGTGCTACATCATAGATTTTAAAGCAAATCACAGTTCCCCCACAGTTCCGGAGACCACTCCACACCACAGAGATTTTAAACATGTCTAGTCCCATAGCATTGCATTTCAACGAAATCCTAGTTCCGGAGACCCCCATTTTCGATCATAGCCAGTTCCAGAGCATCCCACATTCAACAAACATTAGTTCCAGAGACCCCCATTTTCAGGTCCGAGTTAGTTCCAGAGCCCCCCATTATGCTTTCGCAGTGGCACATACCTACCACAATGTGAAAAGAATTGATAAATTCACATGTGTAAACGTGTGTTTATATCTATAGAGAATATATAATAGTTTAAATATTGATCAACTTTTTTTACTACAAGTGAATAGTGTAAATTCAGCTTAAACATAACCCTAACCTAACGTTTAGCAATTAACTATGAATGTACATGATGCTACGAGGACGCAGCGATTGGCTGTAGGATAAACTCTACAAAATGGCTACGATGTTGACGAGCGGAAAAACATAGAGGGCAGCATAGTCAACGATCCCAGCAGGCAAACTGATTGACGAAACTAACCATGACGGCAAACGTGCGCGAGTGGCGTCTGTAGGCGACCGTCTCTTTTCCCACTTGCAGACGAGCAGGCGGTACTTGTGAACGTACTGAGTGACATCTTGGATACTAATGCCGGCGATGATGACTTGGCTGTCGAACTCGTGAGCGAGGACAAGAAACCATTAGGTACGTATCGCGCGGTGTTGGACGACGTCGTTGCCTACCTGTCGTGCGTGCTCGTACGATGCGTGAAGATGATGTGTGGTGAGAAAGATGTGACACGAAAGGAAATCCTACCATGTCGTACTTGTGGTATGAGCTGGATTACTTTATGCCTATTTAACAGATTAACTCTGAGGGTGTGTTACTTGCTAGTATTGAGGTATAAGCATGGGTGATCGAGACTTATCCCACTAATGAGCTAGTACCTAACTGGCTGAGGTGAGTAATTATAATAACGTTTACGAATGTTTAATTTGCGACATGGCTAGCATGTGATCCGGTCGTGTTTTATTTTTATTCAGCGATGAGCACTACCTCGCACAGTTCTGCCACGAAACCGGGGACGACACCGAGTGTGAAGAAATCGAGCATTAAGTCTGCGACGAAACCCACGACTGCCAAGACAAAAACTGCAAATGCGGCACCTTCGGGCCAGAAAGCCCGATGCACACAAGGCCGCGAGTACTGAGACTTCAGCAAGTAATAGCAAGAAAAAAGCTGGCACGTCTTGATGTACGTAAAAAAGCAAGTGTCATCGTCTGCTAAAGCGAAGGAGAAAACCAAGTCAGCACGGCTAAAGATTGTGGTATGTAATGGTGATACACAAATGAGTAACTTGATCAATCATAACTGTGTGGATGTGTGTGCAGGGGTAGATATTAACTTTCGAGCAAGGGAGTCCAACGGACTCCCTACCCTCAAAAAGAGGGAGTCCGCAGCAAAATGAGGGTGTACGCAGTCTGAAGTTCGAAACTAAAGATATTAACAATAACGCGTGTGCATATTTTGAAGATTCATGTGGTTGCACATCTGCCAAAATGTCTGAACATTTGCTGAAAAAATACGGTAATTCCATGAGGCCGTGCTCTGGAACGAACTAGTTAGTAATATTATAGCAAAATGTTCAGGGAGTCACACGGACTCCTGCATATGTTAAATCAGGGAGTCCGACAGTAAATCAGGGAGTATTTGACTCGCCGGAGTCCGGACTCGCATTACTTTCGCACCGTGGGGCCCGCTGTCAGAAACAACCTTATCTTAACATTAAACCTTAACATTAACATTAGACTTAGAAATTAATCCGTAACTTTACGAAGTTTCTGGCAACGGGCGCCCTAGCTGTGTGTATGTGTGTGTGTGTGGGGGGGGGGTAATGGTACATTGTGTTTTTGAATTTTAAGTTGTAGGCATAAAAATTACAGCAATGGCAAGGTTTTGTCTTACTATTTGGGCAGATGTAATATAGGGATCCTTGTTATATTCCGATACTATCATAAGAGATTAAGTAGAGATATAATGAGTTTAAGGCTTGTGGCATTTTAGGCGCTCGAGTCGGTGAACGGTGCGTGGGCTGACGTGTGCGAGTAGTGTGTCGGCCTAGCGAGGAGAGCCTAGCATGAACGTGGGCTGGGTACGCCCATGGCGTGTAACCGGCGGATGCTTCATGAATGTGTGCTGCTGCCTGGTGCATTAGACTCAGCTCCTCTAGTCAGAATGGGGGTGAGGGCTGATGTGTGCCAGGGAGCAGTCAGGCATAGGCGTAGGTCCCCCAAAGCAAGGGCGCTCCGCTTTGTCAGACACAAAATTACTCTTTAACGTTAGTCTTGACATTAACTTTTCTCCATAGAACCTGACCTCTATACACTGCATATGAGCAGACTCCTTAATTTCCCCGGTCTATTGAGAAACTGCGTTTATGTTAAGTCTAAATGTTAAACTAATTTACGATTTTATTATTCTCGGCCGCACGTGTTCTGAGTCTGGCCTGCATGTGCATCACATTAATTGGGGTGACAGAATCGGCTGATCAGTATTTACGTCGTCAGTCGCCTCCAGGCGACCATGATGATGCGAACCGTTCACTTGTTGAATGCTTG